CCCCAAGTTACAAGAAGTTGGTAGCATTGCTATACCTATTTATAAAGGGATAACTGAGCCACAAGAAATTTAAGTCATTTGTCTCCTTGCTAATAACTCAGGAGTTTGGGATATCAACCCAGCAGACTGATTCCAGAGTCCGTGCTTTTAAGCAGCATATACATGAATGTTTACTTTTTTAAGCATTTATTATTTAATCCACTTATCAAAATTTTAAGGAAAGCTTACTGTGTAACAGGCATAAAGCTCAGTGCAGAAGATAGCTTGCCTCTAGTGGGGAAGATGGATTTGGACAAATGACTGTGGGTGCGATATGTGTTATGAAAGTAAGGGAACACTGGGCAGTGGGTGGAAGCAGAGAGCTAAGGACCTAGTCTAATCTGGGGGTCAGAAAGGCCTCCTTGAGGGAGAGGTGTTTAGCTGACTCCTGAAGGCTATGCATGCACAGATTAAACAAAGGGGAAGAGGGGAGATCGACAACAGGGCACAACCTTCCACGAAGGCTTGAGGATCTAAAAAAGTCAATACAGGTGGTGTTTCTAGAGCAGGGAGGCAAGTGGACTGAGATAATGCTGGAGAAAAAGCACTGCTTCCCATTGCAAAGGGCCCCAGGTGCCATACAAATTTGGTGTTTTATTCTAAGTGCCTTGAGAAACTATTGAAAAGATTTGAAGAATGTAGTTTTTAAAAGATGGCTTCATGCCCTAGCCGGTTTGGCTCAGTGGTTAGGAGAGACATGGGTTCTGTTTCCACCAAGGGCATGTACCTTGGTTGCAGTTTGTCCCCGGCCCTGGTTGGGTCGTGTGGGTGGCAACCACTTGATGTGTCCCTTTCACGTCGATGTTTCTCTTTCTCTCTCCCATCCCCTCTCTCCCTCCCACTCTATCTGAACAAAAAATGAAAAAATGTCCTCAGGTGAGGATAAAATAATAATAATAACAATAATCACCTTAAATGTAAATGTATTGAATGCTCTGATAGAAAGACACAGAGTAGCTGATTGGATAAGAAAGCATGACTCATCTATATGTTTTTTACAAGAGACCCACCTCACAACAAAAGACTCACATAGGTTGAAAGTGAAGGGATGGAAAAAAATCTTCCAAGCAAACGGCAAGGAAAAAAAAGCTGGGGTTGCAATACTCATATCTGATAAAATAGATTTCAAAATGAAGGCCATACCTAGAGACAAAGAAGGCCACTACATAATATTGAAAAGATCTATCCAACAGGAAGATATAACCTTGATAAACATATATGCACCCAATATAAGAGCACCAACATATATTAAAAATTTTTTGGAGGACTTCAGAGGAGAAATAGACAGCAATACAATCATAGCAGGGGACGTAAACACCCTGCTCACATCACTGGATAGATCCTCTAGACAAAAAATTGGCAAGGAAGCAGATACTCTAAATGAAGCTCTAGACGAAATGGATTTAATAATACCTACAGAGAATTACATCCCAAAACTATAGACTTCACATTCTTCTCAAGTGCACATGGGACATTCTCAAAAATAGACCACATGTTAGGGCACAAACTAAGTCTCCACAAGTTCAAGAAGATTAAAATCATATCAAGCAGTTTCTCAGATCACAATGGCATGAAACTAGAAATCAATTGCAACAAGAACATGCAAAGACATTTGAACACATGGAGGCTAAATAGCATGTTATTAAACAATGAATGGGTTACCAAGGAGATCAAGGAAGAAATTAAAAACTTCCTGGAAACCAATGTAAATGAACACACAACACAAAATCTATGGGATGCAGCAAAAGCAGTTCTGAGCAGGAAGTTCATAGCACTACAGGCCTAACTCAAGAAGCAAGAAAATTTTCTAATAGACCATCTAACCTTACAACTTAAAGAACTAGAAAGCAAAAATAAAGAAAACCCCAGAACAAGTAGAAGGAAGGAAATAGTAAAGATCAGATCAGAAATAAATGACATAGAGACCCAAAAAACAATTCAAAGGATCAAGGAAACAAAGAGCTGGTTCTTTGAAAAGATGAACAAGATTGATGGACCCTTAGCTAAACTCACCAAAAAACAAAGAGAGAGAACCCAAATACACAAAATCAGAAATGAAAGAGGAGAAGTAACAACTGACACCACAGAAATACAAAAGATCGTTAACAACTACTATGAACAATTATATGGCAACAAATTCGACAATCTAAGTGAAATGGACAAATTTCTAGAAAAACATAGTCTCCCAAACTGGACCGGGAAGAAATAGAAAACTTGAACAGACCGATAACAACAAAAGAAATTGAAGATGTAATCAAGACTCTCCCAGCAAACAAAAGCCCAGGCTCGGATGGCTTCACCGGGGAGTTTTACCGAACATTCAAAAAAGAACTAACACCATTCTCCTCAAACTATTTCAAAAAATTCAAGAAGAAGGAAGACTTCCAAACTCGTTCTATGAAGCCAGCATAATTCTAATTCCAAAACCAGAAAAAGACATTACAAAGAAAGAAAACTACAGGCCCATATCCCTGATGAACATAGATGCCAAAATTCTGAACAAAATACTAGCAAATCGGATCCAGCAATATATCAAAAAAATTATTCACCATGACCAAGTGGGATTCATTCCAGGGATGCAAGGCTGGTACAATATTTGCAAATCAATAAATGTGATACACCAGATAAATAAAATGAAGAATAAAAATCACATGGTCATATCAATAGATGCTGAAAAAGCCTTCGACAAAATCCCGCACACATAAAAACGCTCAGCAATGTGGGAATAGAGGGATCCTATCTCAATATAATAAAGTCCATATATGAAAGACCTACAGCCAATGTCATACTCAATGGGTAAAAACTAAAAGCATTTCCCTTAAGAACAGGAACAAGACAGGCATGCCCACTTTCTCCAGTCTTATTTAACATATTACTGGAAGTCTTAGCCACAGCAATGAGACAGGAAGAAAAAATAAAAGGGATCCAAATTGGAAAGGAGGAAGTGAAACTGTCATTATTCACAGATGACATGATATTACACGTAGAAAACCCCAAAGACTCCATCAAAAATTTACTATACTTAATAAATGAATTTGGCAAAGTAGCAGGATACAAAATTAACGTCAAAAAATCGACGGCATTCTTATACACCAATGATGAACTCACAGAAATAGAAACTAAAAAACCAATCCCATTTACCATCGTGGCAAAAAAATTAAGATACCTAGGAATAAACTTAACCAAAGAAATAAATGACCTATTCTAATAAAACTACAGGACATTGAAAAAAGAAATAGAGGAAGATATAAAAAAGTGGAAGCACATCCCTTGTTCATGGATTGGAAGAATTAACTTCATTAAAATGTCCATATTACCCAAAGCAATCTATAGATTCAATGCAATCCCCATCAAAATACCAACGACATACTTCACAGAACAAGAACAAATACTTCAAAAGTTCATATGGAACCACAAAAGACCTCAAATAGCCACAGCAATCTTAAAAAAGAAGGACAAAGTAGGTGGGATCACAATACCAGATATCAGGTTATACTACAAAGCTACTGTAATCAAAACAGCCTGGTACTGGCACAAGAACAGGCATATTGACCAGTGGAACAGAACTGAGAACCCAGAAATAAACCCAAGACATTATGCTCAATTAATATTTGAGAAAGGAGGCAAGAGCATACAGTGGAGTAAAGACAGCCTCTTTAATAAAAAAGCTGTGGTGCATATACACAATGAGTACTATGCATCTGTAAGAAAGAAAGATCTCTTATCCTTTGAGATGACATGGAGGGATCTGGAAAGTATTATCCTAAGTGAAACAAGCCAAGCAGAGAAAGACAAATACCATATGATCTCACTTATTTGTGGAATATAATGAACATAACAGTCTGAGGAATAAGGTAAACCCAGAGACGTGAAAGTTGGATACAGACTGACAACCCTCAGAAGAAGTGGTGGTTGGGGGGTGGGAAGAGATAAGCCACAGAACTTATATGCATGTACGCATAAACAAGGGACATGGACAACAAAGCCAGGGACAGGGTTGGGTGGGGTGGGGAGAAGGGTGTCAATGAGTAAAAAAGGAGAAACTTCTGTAACAAAAATAAAATAAATAAATAAATAAATAATAATAATAGCTAGAAAGAAAGATTGTATTTAGTGAAACTAAAATTCAACACCAGCACTCAATTTTGACACAAATGCCAAACTGGTGAAGTCCAACTTAATGAGGCTCTGCCATGCCTGTTACTAGGCTTGAAGTGTTTGTTCCTTTTAATAAGTCCAAAGCTTTTCTTCCTCCATTTCCACCTCCAACACAATTTTTTTCTACAACAGTAACTTAATTAGCAGTATCTGTCTCCATATTATACAGGTATGCTTTTTCAACCTTGGATAGAATAATGTGCCTTTGAATAATAGGAACTTAAATTCATAGGGCTCCATGTGGTGTGTTTTCCTTGTCCCTGAGTATGAAGTGCTGGCTTTTTCACGCAGTCGTGGCTGTGCTTCGCATACCCATCACCCCCATCCTTAGCCATCGCAGTGAGAGAAGAATTAGAGCAAGAATACACTTAGTTTAGAAGAAGAAAAAAATTAGCAGATGTCCCTTTCTCAAATCCTAAGGTGTTTGGGGCCAAGCGATTATTTCTGTGTATATTTATAACTGTATATACAACTTTGCAAGTAGCTTTTTAACCTAGTAGGGGAGAAAACAACCATAGCTACTCCTTGCAGTCCTTGGTTCCAGGGCTTTACCTGGTTTTCTAGTCCATTGCTGCCAGATCTTCCTGGGTTTTTAAACTAAGGCCTCCCAGCTCACATGGACTACCACTTAGTATAGCTAAAGTTCAAAGGGACTTAAAAATTTTTATTGCAGTAAAATATGCATACCATAAAATTTACCATCATAGCCATTTTTAAGTGTATAGTTCAGTGTTATTAAATAGATTCATAATGTCGTGCAACCATCAGCACCATCCATGTCTCAAGGGAACTTTTTTTTTCTTAAAAATATGGAACGTGTCACGAATTTGCGTGTCATCCTTGCTTAGGGCCATGCTAATCTTCTCTATATCATTCCAATTTTAGTATATATGCTGCAGATACAAGCACTCAATGAAACTTTTAAAAACGAACCTTTATGCCCGGCCTGTGTGGCTCAGTGGTTGAGCGTTGACCCATGCACAAGAAGTCACCAGTTCGATTCCCGGTCAAGGCACATGCCCAGATTGTGGGCTAAATCCCCAGTGGGGGGCATGCAGGAGGTGGCCAATCGATGTTCTCTCTCACCAATGTTTCCATCTCCCTCTCCCTCTTCCTTTCTCTTTCTCTAAAATCAATAAAGAAAAAAAAAATTAAAAACAAACCTTTATTTTCTAACTTGTTCTTTTTATTTTTATTTTTTATTTTTTATTTATTTTTTTGTTACAGATATTTCATCTTTTTTACCCCATTGGCACCCCCCTCCCCACTCCACCCCCACCCTAACTTGTTCTTTGAAGTCAATGTTACCCTAATACCCGAACCAGATAAAGACATCACAAGAAAAAAAAGCTACAGATCAATATCTCTCATAAACATAGATGTAAAAGTCCTCAAAAAAATTAGCAAATCAAATCCATCAATGTATAAAAAATTATATACCACCACTAAGTTGGATTAATTCCAGATATGCAAGCTTATCCAACACTTGAAAATCAATCAATGTAGTTCAACACATCAACAGACTGAAGAAGAAAAATCATATATTCATATTAATTGATGAAAAAGTATTAGACAAAATTGAGCACCTATATTATGATGAAAACTCTCAGAAAACTAGGAACAAAGAGGCACTTTTTCAACTTGATTTAAAAAAGCATCTACAAAAAACCTATATGAACCTTCAATTTAATAATGAGAAACTGGCCCTGGCCTGTTTGGCTCAGCGGTTAGAGTGTTGGCCTGCAGTCCAGAGAGACCTGGGTTCGGTGCCCGCTAAGGGCATGTACCTCAGTTGCAGTTTGTCCCCGGCCCTGGTTGGGTCGTGTGGGTGGCAACCACTCGATGTGTCCCTTTCACGTCGATGTTTTTTTCTCTCTCTCTCTCCCTCCCACTCTATCTGAACAAAAAATGGAAAAATGTCCTCAGGTGAGGATAAAAGAAAAAAAATTTTAGTAATAATGAGAAACTGTATGCTTTCCACTTAAGATTGGGAAAAAAACCCCACTGTCCTCTCTTATCACTTTTATTTAATAACATCTTGGAAGCCCTATCTAGTGCAATAAGACAAGAAAAAGATATAACAAGTAAACAGGCTGAGAAGAAAGAATTAAAGCTCAGCTTTACTGACAAAGGTAGGCATTTCAAGTCTCTTTTAGAATTTATAGACTTTATTGCATATTTGTTTTATATTTTAAAGATGTCTACTCTTATTTTTAGTATTGCTTTTCTTTTATTTCTTTTGGGTTTAATTTGCTGTTTTTTTTCCCTAGCTTCTTAAGATGTAAACGTAGATCATGTGGATTTTTTCATCTTTCTTCTTCTAAAATAAATATATACATTTAAAGCTATGAGTTTCCTGTTAAGCCCTGCTTTATCAGCATCAATATTTTGATGTCATATTTTTATTATTTAGTTTAAATATTTTCTGATTCCACTGTAATTTTTCTTAGACCTACAAGCTATTTAAAAATGTACTGCTTAATTTCCAAACATTTGTGGGTTTTGTAGACATCTTCCTATTATTGATTTCTAGTTTGATTCCACTGTAACCAGAGAACACACTTAGTATGATTTCAGTTCTTTGAAATGTATTGAGACTTGCTTTATGGCCTAGCATGTGATTTTGATAAGTGTTCATATGCTCTTGAAAATGAAATGTATGTGGCAATTGCTAAGTGTAATGTTCTATATCTGTCAATTTGGTTACCTGAGTTGTTCAAATCTTTCAAACTTTGTTAGGGTTGGTGCATTTTAATTTTTAATTTTTATGTATTGAATTATTTTTATTCAGTTTATTGAGGCAACATTGGTAAACAAAATTCCACAGGTTTTAGGTACACAATTCTACAACACATCATCTGTATACTGTAATGTGTGTTCACCACCCCCAGTCAGGTCTCCATTCATCACCATTTATCCTCCCTATACCCTCTTCCACCACCCCCATTGTCTGTGTCCATGAGTTTTTCCTCTTTTGCTCAATGCCTTCATTCTTCCTACAAGGTTGGTGCATTTTGATTTTGCCTTCATTACCAGGCTGTGATCTTTCTGAGGTCTCAGTCAGAAGTGTGGATGTTGCTATTCCACCTTGGTGGGCCTTGTACTCCAACCTCTGTCTCCTCAGTACTAAGCTGCTGTAAGACCTGGGCTCAGCACTTTAGCCTCACAGCTGCTGCTTCCTGTTAGTGTTCTTCAGTTTGCTCAGCTTGCTCAGCTTGGGAACTGGCAAACATCACAAGGGGAGACTGCCTTCCGGGTTTACTTCACTACAATTTCCTCCTCTCCAGAATGTTATCATCCAAATCCCAGGTACTTTGGCAACTTTAAACTCCAATCTATCTCCTTAGCCCAGTGAAGTACAGCCATTCACTCCATTTTCCGTTCTGTGAAGTGTGCCAGGGTGAATATGGAGTTCACCTTGCTGTGCCTACCTTCTCTTCAGGGTCATCTGCATTGGTCCCTCTCCCATGCCTTCAAATGGTTGTATCACATATTTTTTCTAGCTGTCAACAGTTGTTCTCAGTGACTGGAATAAAAATGTTTTCTTTTTACAATGTGGCACACTCTATACTACAAATAAAAAATACCTAAAAGAACTCAAGAGATTGAAATTAAAAATTACAAAAGTATAAACACTGATACAGATCACAGTACTCCCACCTAATCTAAGACCATCCTCAAGTGTCTGGACTTAAGCTTTCTGTTTGAATCAAATGCCCTTTCTTTCTCACCTTCAGTTTAGTTCTTTGACAAAAGCACTGTACAAAGTCAAGGTTAGGTTTCTGGACTTCTATATAAAGTTATGTGATTATGGAAAACCCCCTTTCTTTTAACACTTTGGTTTTATTATTAATCAAGAACAATGGGCATTCACACCTGCTTAAGACTTCTCAGGAATCAGCAGGGCAAGTGCTTACCCTGTCTTCCCAACAGAGCTGGTATGAGCTCAGCTTAGGTGCGAAGGCAAGGTTCACATCCCCGTAGACATGTGGGTGCCTTAACAATTTTTTAGCTCTTAGACAATTTCTTCTCCACGCTCTATTTTTATTTTCTTCCTCTAATTAGAACTGAGAATTAGACACAAATGTGATTGCTATCTCTTCCCCCCATCTGGGTCAGATTGTCCTGCTAAAACCCTAGAATAAAAAAACATACAGGCCCTGGCCATTTCTGTTCAGTGGTTAGAGCATGGGGGGCCCATGGACCAAAGGGTTGTGGGTTTGATTCCCGGTCAAGGGCACATGCCTCAGTTGCTGGTTTGATTCCCAATCCCGACCCAGGGCCGTTGTGGGAGGCAACCAATAAATAAGTCACTCTCACATTGATGTTTCTCTCTTTCTCCCTTCCTCTCTTCCACTCTATCTAAAAATTAATGGAAAAATATTGTTGGGTGAGAATTAACAAACAAAAAAAAGAACACAGGTGTTTGAGTGGGATGCTAGTTTGGGGAGAGCTGGCTGGCCAGGTAGGCCTGACCAGGATGATTCTCTGTAGACAGGCCATAGAGAAACATAAACTATCAGAAAGGCTTTGATCAGTGTGAAAATTGAACAAAAAGAGCCATTTGTGTGATTCAGAAGTTGAATGACATTAAGTTGGACAACTAGGTGGATATGTTGTTATGAGTAGAATTACCTCTTAGCCTCAATTTTTGAACCTTAGGGAACAGGGCTTCAGTGGCACAGCCCCACTTGGCCTCTGACTACTTTGTCTAGGCTTTATCTCTCACCAATTCCCTTTTGGTTGCCATGAACTCCTTTAGGTATTTACCAATGTCAGTGTGGTTGGTGTCTTGCTGTCATGTCATAATCACCTCATATGTCTGCTCAGCTGCTTCATGTGCTCAGTTTATAGCTTGAGTTTGTTTTTGTTTTTTAATCTTTACTTTTTAAAGTATTACAGATATCCCCTCATTTTTCCCCCATTAACTCCCTCCTCCCTGCTCTCAACCCCTCTTGTCTTCCCCACACTATTGTCTGTGTCCATTGGTTGTGCATATATGCATATAAGTTCTTTGGTTTATCTCTTTCTGCACTTCCTATCCTCCTTCCCTCTGAGGTTTGTCAGTCTGTTCCCTACTTCCATGTCTCTTGATCTATTTTGATAGTCAACCTATTTTGCTCATTATATTCTATAAATATGTGAGATCATGTGGTACTTGTATTTCTCTGACTGGCTTATTTTGCTTAGCATAATACTCTCCAGGTCCCTCTATGTTGTCTCAAAGGGTAAAAGATCTTTCTTTCTTATAGCTGCATAGTATTCCATTGTGTAAATTTACCACAGCTTTTTTATCCACTCATCTACTGATGGACACTTGGGCTGTTTTCAGATCTTAGCAACTGTAAATAGTGCTGCTATGAACATAGTGGAACATATATTCTTTCTGATTGGTGTTTCAGACTTCTTAAGATATATTCCAAGAAGTGGAATCACTGGGTCAAATGGCAGTTCTACTTTTAATTTTCTGAGGAAACACTATATTGTTTTCCATAGTGGTTTCACCAGTCTGCATTCCCACCAGCAGTATACTAGAGTCCCCTTTTCTCCACCCCTCGCCAACACTTGTTTGATGATTTGTTGATGGCAGCCATTCTGGCAGGTGTGAGGTTATACCTCATAGTCATTTTAGTTTTCATCTCTCTGGTGGTTAGTGACATTGATAATTTTTTCATATGTCTCTTGGCCATTTGTATGTCCTGTTTAGAGAAGTGTCTATTCAGGTCCTCTGCCCATCTGCCCATTTTTAATTGTATTTTTGTCTTCCTTTCGTTGTGTTATATGACTACTCTATATATTTTGGATATTAATCCCTTATCTGATGTATCATTGGTAAATGTGTTCTACTAGAGAGTGGGTTCCCTTTCCATTTTGATGCTGGTTTCTTTTGCCATGCAGTAGCTTTTTAG